AGAGGAAAAATTAACTAAAATAATTTCAACTCTTATATACTCTACAAATACTCATTCAATCATTTTTTAGGTATAATTTATCTTAAATGTCATATAAATTGCAAAAATATACTATAATGATCAAATCCACCTTTATACTATATTTGGTACAATGGTTTAAAGACTTGAAATGACTTGAAGCTCAAAGCAGACGACTTTGGACTTGACTTGGACTTATGAGCCAGTGACTCGAGTCTCGACTTGGACTTGCCTGTATTTGACTTGGGACTTGACTCGGACTTGAGATCAAAGACTCAAGACTTACTTGAGACTTGCAAAACAAAGACTTGGTCCCACCTCTGCAACATTCCCACGAAAACAAGCTCCAAGCCAAATCAGAGTCTGCTAAAAGATTACGTAATGTGGCTTTAAGATTGAAATATTGCTCATTTTCTTTTAATTTTTAACATTCGGTTTATAGTTTATACATTTATGGGCAGCACGTATGACATATGTAAAGATAATTCAACTAGAAACCACGAAAGAGCCAAAAAGTGTCTGAATTGTTATAGTTTACGCAGACAAACGTGACCACTTAACAGATGTATAGACGAGTTTCATTGTTGACAAAAGCGCGTGTTGCATGCTGGGAATTATTTTGGTTGGCGGCAAGAAACACTAATTCAACATGACGGACGGAGCGAGAAAACACGTAAAGGGTATTGATCCTGGTTATTTATCCACTCTAACGGCAGAGGACCCAAGACCATTTGACCAGAAATTGGTCATAAGCATCGATGGACGACAAATCACCCCTTTTCAACCCCGACAAAGCCTGGACCAAACCAAATTTCTGTCAGAATCACAACTACCTGGACAAATATTCACTTGGGTGATATCCACAATGACTTGGTGGAAACTCCTGGGCCATTCACTGCAGAAAAGATGAAAAACCTCCAAGAGTCTGGATGTGTTGTTGAACTTGTTGGAGTCCACGGTTTGTTAGGATCTTCTACGTTTGCTCTGCGGATGTTTGAAAGACGTTTAATTCACCGTTAGCGGTTCTTTTCACTCAGAATACGAAAAAGACATTTTCCTTCTTCCGTGCTTCTATTTGTGCATCCGATAATGCAGCAGGAATTTACCATTATCGGGGATAAACACGCAAGGTTACACACTGTGTTTGACGCTACCGTGTTTTCTTGCCTCCGACCAAAAATATTTCCCAGCATGCAACACGGGCTTTTAATAACAATGACGTCAGCTGAAACTCGCCTACAACTATGATACACATTGACTAAAGGCACTATCCCACCAAATGAACCCAGAATTCGAAAAAACACGGAAAGGTCATACTTTAATTCTCGTAAATGTAAAAAACGCCGTTCGATTTTCAGTTTTTACCAAGCGTTACACACAGAAACATTGGAGTAACATTAGGTCTTATCATATTCCAACCCCGAATTTCATCCACACAAAACAATTTCGATTTCTTTACGAGGAAAACAAACGTGTATTATCATGTTTTCTACATACATTTCACGTTTTATGCACTTCATTTGCAGTGTTGGGAGTGTTACTTTTCAAATGTTTTCCCCTACAGATTTGGGTGGCAGTAGTTCAGTTGGTGGAGCATTCACCCACTGATCTGAAGGTTGGCGGTTTGATTCCAGCTCTTGACATAAACATCACAGGTTGAGCGGTCAGATCCAGTGACCCACAGGTTGGCTGGTGTGATTCCAGCTCCCACAGATGAATGCTGTCGTTGTGTCCTTGGGCATGACACTTAACCCTACCTTGCCCACAGTGTCTGCGTACACTGGTGTGTGAATGTGTGTTCCTTGTTGAAAAAACCATTTACCATTACAGATTACATACCCCAAAATGTAGTTTGTAACAGAAACCATTAAATTACTTAAAGTGAGTAACGTAATCTGAATACTTTGGATTACTTGATTTGCTATAGAGAAGCAAAGACGAGGATATTATAATATAAGATATTTTGTCTGTTAAAAGAAAATAAAAAGGCCAAGTCTTTACTTAACAGTATAAAAAATATTATTGATAGAAGACGAGGAGACACGGTCCGCACACAGCATGGTTAAATCCTGTTTTAGACCTGTTTTAGTCCTGGTTTAGTCCTGGTTTAGATCTAGATCTAGTTTAGACCTGGTTTTAGACCTGGTTGAGACCTGGTTTAGATCTAGTTTTAGTCCTGGTTTATATAGTCCTGAAATACAACCCAAAATGTGAAAACAGGAAAATACCTCCGTGTAATCTGTTTATTTCAACAAAGTAACTGTAATCCAATTAGCACTCACAGAAACAGTAACTGTAACCGAATACAGTTACTCATGATTTGTACTCTGATTACGTAACTCCAGTACATGTAATCTGTTACTCCCCAACACTGGTCATTTGGCACCAATCAAGCAAAAAGCGTAACATTCTCTAAATAAGTGAGACGGGCCTAAACGTGTGCGCAGGACAACCAGAGGAGAGAGGGAGACAGGTGGTCACCCTATTAAAGCCCCATCATGAGCTGCGGAACCGATTCGCGTAACGAACGACCCCCGTTGATGTTGTTTTTCTTTTTTTTAGTTTGTTTTTTATGCGCGCGACGTGGACAGCTGATGAGATGCGGAGAGGTGGAGAGGAGGAAGGAGGAGGCCACGTATCGCTGCTGTTCTGGGCGGAGGAGGGGAGGGATGGATAGAGAGAGAGAGAGAGAGAGAAAGAGAGAGGGAGAGTGTTTGCATGTGAAAGGCTGCGCGTAAATCCCCCGGCTCTTAGCGCGGATTGTCCCCGGCTCAGGGTTAATGAAGTGCGGATAGAGTCGAGTTGAGCTCCCGATAGACACAACCACGCACACACGCACACGCACACACAAAGAGAGAGAGAGAAAGAGACAGAGAGAGGAAAAGCTCCGGTGGACTGCTCAAAAAAAAAAAAAAAAAAAAAAAAAAAACGGAAAATAAATGCGTCTTTTTGATGAAATTAAGAGCGAATCAAAGGCATCGTTTGCGCCCCGAATGCGCCAATAAGAGAAACCCGCAGCCAGTGTTGGGGAGTAACAGATTACATGTACCGGAGTTACGTAATCAGAGTACAAATTATGAGTAACTGTATTCAGTTACAGTTACTGTTTCAGTGAGTGGTAATTGGATTACAGTTACTTTGTTGAAATAAATGGATTACACGGAGGTATTTTCCAGTTTTCACAGTTTGAGCTATATTCCAGGACTATATAAACCAGGACTAAAACTAGATCTAAACTAGATCTAAACCAGGACTAAATCTAAACCAGGACTAAACCAGGACTAAACAGGACTAAACCAGGATTAAACCAGGACTAAAACAGGACTAAACCAGGATTAAACCAGGACTAAACCAGGACTAAACAGGACTAAACCAGATCTAAACCAGGTCTAAACCAGGTCTAAATCATGCTGCGTGGACTCTTCTATCAATAATATTTTTTATACAGTTAAGTAAAGACTCGGCCTTTTTATTTTCTTTTATCAGACAAAATATTTTATATTACAATTTCCTCGTCTTTGCTTCTCTACAGCAAATCAAGTAATCCAAAGTATTCAGATTACGTTACTCACTTGAAGTAATTTAATGGATTACGTTACAAACTAGATTTTGGGGTATGTAATCTGTAATCTGTAGGGGAATATGTTTTAAAAGTAACCTTCCCAACACTGATTGTAGCATTGTTTTATTTCATGATGAAGGCAAAAAAAAAAAAAAAAAAAAAAAAAAAAAAAAAAAATCACACGGGAGAGATAAAAAATAGATCTATTAAAATGTTCAAGAAAGCGTGACCTATTTTGGCGTTTTCATCCAACAGTTAAACCAGTGATTTTTACGCACAGTTTAAACGCGTAAAACTGTATTCTTAAACGGCGTCAGATGAGCTCACGCGCTTCTTACGTGTTTTCCAGACCGTTAAAGAGATGATAAAGAATGATGAGAAAACATGGGGAAGGGTTTAAAACGAGAGACAACGATCGTTTATGACGCGCGGGGTCTCGGCGGAGCTGGTTTGTTGGTGCGTAAAAAGCTCGACTTTTCTTGTTGTTATTGGAACACGGGAACGAGTCTATAAAAATTATATCACGCTCAAATAAAGGGCTGAAAGAGCGAGAGAGCGGCGGAGGGAGGAGTGGGAGGAGAGGAGGAAGGAGAAAGAAGAGTAAGCAATAAAGGAGAGAGAAGGAGAGGTGCAAATAGAGGGAGAGGAGACGAGAAGGGAGAGAAAGTGAGTAAAGGAGACAGACAGAGGGTGAAGGAGAGAGAGAGGAGAGTGAAGGAGAAAGTAGGAGACAGAGGAAAGAAGGAGAGAGTAGGAGACAGAGGGAAGAAGGAGAGAGTAGGAGATAGAGGAAAGAAGGAGAGAGTAGGAGACAGAGGGAAGAAGGAGAGAGTAGGAGACAGAGGAAAGAAGGAGAGAGTAGGAGACAGAGGGAAGAAGGAGAGAGTAGGAGACAGGAGAAGAAGGAGAAGAGGAGACAGGAAAGAAGGGAGAGAGTAGGAGACAGGAAAGAAGGAGAGAGTAGGAGACAGAGGGAAGAAGGAGAGAGTAGGAGACAGAGGAAAGAAGGAGAGAGTAGGAGACAGGAAAGAAGGAGAGAGTAGGAGACAGAGGGAAGAAGGAGAGAGTAGGAGACAGGAAAGAAGGAGAGAGTAGGAGATAGAGGAAAGAAGGACAGAAGGAAGACAAGAGAGGGTTAGGGACTAGGAGACAGACAGACAAACAGACAAAGACGGAGAAAGGTGTAGAAGAAAAGGAATAAAGAGACGAGATGGAGAGACCAAGAAGAGAAAAAAGAGATGGGATAGAGAGGCAGAGGAAACAGATGGGAAGAGAAAGGGAGCTGGAGAGAGAGAGAGAGAGAGAGAAAGAGGAAAGAGGGAAAAACTGAAAAAGACAGTGGCCGACAAGAGGGAGGGAGAGAGAAAGACGGAGAGAGAGAAGAAAGAGAAGGAGACCACACCTGACTCAGTTCTCAGAGATGACGTCCAACATCTCCTGCCCCCTCACTGCAGCAAGAAACAAGAGAAGTTCATCTGCGAAGTAAAGTAGCTCATGTTTGGAATAACCTTTAAAACATGAACATGGAAACAAAGGGTTTTTCACAAACAAAAGAGTCTGTACTGACACTACATTAGGTCAAGTACGTCTGATGAATCCATGTACCATTCTTTCATTTGTGTCTCAAAAAAAAAAAAAATAATAATAATAATAAAAAAAAAAATAAACCAAAATGGATAACAATTCGTTTTTCAGTTTTCGATTTTGTGTTTAAATGAATAACATATAATAACAGATAACAGACGTTTCCTTTTTCTGTGACTTTAACTGCGATGCCGGACTTTTTCACTGCATACGGACTGAACCAGGACTGAACTAGGTCTAAACCAGGACTGATCCAGGACTAAACCAGGTCTAAATCAGGACTAAACCAGGACTGATCCCAGGACTGAACCAGGACTGAAACAGACTTGAGTGTTGGGATGTCATGTAGATTGTCGGGTAATCAGGACTGAGACCGGGACCAGACTGGGACAAGATCAGAACTGACACCAGGACTGAGACCAGGACCAGGACTGAGACCAGAACTGAGACCAGGACTGAGAGACCAGAACTGAGACCAGGACTGAGACCGGGACCAGGACTGAGATCGGGACCAGACTGGGACCAAGACTGGGACCAGACCATGACTGAGACCAGGACTGAGACCAGGACCAGACCAGGACTGAGACTGGAAGAGTCCTGGTTTAATCCTGGTTTAGTCCTGGTTAGTCCTGGTTCAGTCCTGGTTTAGTCCTGGTTTCAGTCCTGGTTTAGTCCTGGTTCAGTCCTGGTTTAGTCCTGGTTCCGTCCTGGTTTAGTCCTGGTTCAGTCCTGGTTTAGTCCTGGTTCAGTCCGGTGTTTCAGTTTAAGTCACGGAAAAGGAAAACGGCCGTTATCTGCTTTCTCCATTATTTAAACACAAAATCGAAAACTTAAAAAAACTAATCGGGTCAGTATCTATTTTTTCATTTTGGTTTTGGAGATAAATAATGAAGAAAATCTTTTTCTTATTTTTGATTTTATTTTGAAAAACAAATAAACAAATGCTACACGGACTCTGATGGCGTCTCCATGTTGGGTTCAGTGCTGCTCTGTGATTGGTCAGTTTCTCACATGCAGCAATTGAGCCTGAGCTGTTCGAGACAGATTCCCGGGAGTTTGTGGAAGTACAGAATCTTTAACTGAATTTATTTTCTTAATTCAAGCCAACCTGCTTCCTGGCAACTGATCAAGGCCGCACAAACTAGTGTCTAAAAGTGAATGGATCCCTAAGTTACAATGAACAGAAAATAGTTGTGCCCCAATGTAAAAAAGGAAGAAGAACTTGAAATCCATGACGCTCTTTTATCCGCAGCAGCAGAACCATCAGCCATTCATCCTCTCAGTGTTCTCCTCTTCACCACCATCAGTGTCTTGGCCTTTTTTCACTTTCATATTGTCGATTTTCTTCCAGTTTCTATAGTTCAAATCTATTTACCTGGTCACTCTAAAAACATTTCTTGTCTTCTTTCCTTTGAGAGATCGTGCCGTGTTGTCGATCCGTGACAGATCCGGGTCGGGGTGCTGTGTCTGGGGAGAGATTATGGTCCTCGCAGTGGGGGGCTGGAGGATCACACTGCACATATTATTCAATCAATACTTTTGGAGGTGGTACATGAGCGGCCGTCCCACACGCAGCTCTGAATGTGACGGTAACACAAACACCCCCAGGCCCTGACCCCCAAGGACCCAACGGGACCCAAGAGGCCCCGAAAACCAGCCCCAAACACCAGCCCCGAACACCAGCCCCAAACACCAGCCCAGCATTGTTCCCAACCAGACCCACATGTAAACCCCTACACTCCACACCTGCACTAGCCCCACACTGGACACAAACAAATACCCCCAAATGCCAGGCTCACAACCACAACCCCCATCCACACCACCACAACCAGCCCATACATCACAACCAGCCCCATACCAGCCCACACCATCACAACCAGCCCACACCATCACAACAGCCCCACACCATCACAACCAGCCCCACACCATCACAACCAGCCCCATACCAGCCCCACACCATCACAACCAGCCCCACACCACCACAACCAGCCCCATACAGCCCCACACCATCACAACCAGCCCCACACCACCACAACCAGCCCCACACAGGCCCAACCACAACCTTCATCCAACCCTACACCATCACAACCAACAACCAGCCACACATCCAGTGTTGGGGAGTAACAGATTACATGTACTGGAGTTACGTAATCAGAGTACAAATCATGAGTAACTGTATTCAGTTACAGTTACTGTTTCAGTGAGTGGTAATTGGATTACAGTTACTTTGTTGAAATAAATGGATTACATGGCGGTATTTTCCTGTTTTCACATTTTGGGCTATATTCCCTCCCTTTTTTTTTTTTTTTTTTTTTTTTCGGTAATTAAACCAGGTCTAAACCAGGACTAAACAGGACTAAAACAGGTCTAAACCAGGACTAAAACAGGACTAAAACAGGTCTAAACCAGGACTAAAACAGGACTAAAACAGGTCTAAACCAGGACTAAACCAAGACTAAACCTGGACTAAAACAGGACTAAAACAGGTCTAAACCAGGACTAAACCAAGACTAAACCTGGACTAAAACAGGACTAAAACAGGTCTAAACCAGGACTAAACCAGGACTAAAAACAGGACTAAAACCAGGTCTAAACCAGGTCTAAACCAGGACTAAACCAGGTCTAAACCAGGACTAAACCAGGACTTAAACAGGACTAAAACAGGATTTAACAGGACTAAATCATGCTGCGCGGACGTGTCTCCTCGTCTTCTATCAATAATATTTTTAATTTGGTTCAGTAAAGTCTGGGCTTTTTATTTTCTTTTAAGAGACAAAACATCTTATGTTACAATTTCCTCGTCTTTGCTTCTCTACAGAAAATCAAGTAATCCAAAGTATTCAGATTACGTTACTCACTTTAAGTAATTTAATGGATTACGTTACAAACTACATTTTGGGGTATGTAATCTGTAATCTGTAGGGGAATACATTTGAAAAGTAACCTTCCCAACACTGCCCCGACCAGCCCCACACCACCAAAAACAGCCCCACACTGGCCCCAGTCAGCCCCACAACAGCTCTGACCAGCCCTGTACCTCCACAACCACCGACCCCAAACACCAGCCCTGCGTCGGCCCCAACCAGCCCCACACCAGCGCTACACCAGTTCCGCATCGGTCGCAAACACCGGCTCCAATGACACTCACGTCGGCCCCAAACAGCAGCCCCCACACCAGCTCCAATCAGCTCCTTACAAGCCCCACACTAGTCCCAACCAGCTCCAACCACTCCCACTCCCCAAAACAGACATTATAATATAACCAAATGATTAGGAATCAGTCCACACTTCGGTTGTATCGCGTAAACACATCTTTTTCCCCACAGTTAAGTTTAAGTACAGTTTTTTAAATCAAATTTTAAGTCTAAATAAGAATGTGATGTTGAGTTGAACAGTGTTTACCTCACACTAATGTCCTACAGGATTAAGAACAAAAATAAGTAACGAAATAAGAGAAGCTTTCAGAGGTGGACAGTGCAGCCTGGACACTACATTTACTATTTATAAGCTCTCTGTCGCGCTCGTACCGGGGGGCTCATTTAAAAGTGGGCAGAATTAGAGGAAACAGGCTCTTTCTGGGACCCCCTGCCGGCCCCGGGGTCACTGACCGGGGGCCCCTTCACCTCATAAACATAAAGGGAGGAGAGGGCATCAATAAGGCATGAGGAGTGGAGCGCATGTATTTTTTAAGTGGAGAGTCTGTGTGATGTGTGGTGAGGAGGGCCAGGGAGCAGAGCCGGACCCTGCCTCACTGAACCACTGTCCCAGGTGAGGGCCGTGTCCACTGGGAAGGAACCGTGAGGGCCGGGGGGGTAAGGAGAGGCTTCAAGAGCAGTATGGGGATTAAAAAAATACAACAATCAAATCAATATTGCAGTTTGAACGGTCACAATCAGGAAATGACCAAGACTATTTTAATGATATTGACTGATATTGATGATATTGTATTTTGGTGGGTTGCAGGTGACGTCATGATTAATATTTAACACAGTGTGGACAGTTAGAATCAATATTAACAGAATTTTGTTGTAATACAAGAAGAAGAAGGCCAAAAATTCAAGTTAATGCATCTGATATAAAAATGTATTGAACAGATACATATGTACTCTAGTTTATGAAACTGTTGACCTTTTTTCTGTACCATTTTTGGTTCTAAAGTTCCATATGTTTTAAACAGACCATGTATGAAACATGGAACAAAAATTATTTCCCAAATTTCAAAGACCTGAAAATCATGTCAATAAATGGATGTATTTCATCATATCTTGTGTTATTCCATCTTTGAACTGTTGATGAAGGTACATGATTTCTCCAAAAAAAATATTTAAAATGATAAAAATTTGCTTGGAAGGACTGACATATTTTATAGAAATAGTTTCCTTTCATTTTGAAGTAATATTAAAGTATTCAGAAGAAAAAAGATAATAAATGATGTAAAATCCTGCACCTTCTACTTGTTTGCACAATTTTCCCTCCGTTACTTTTCCCTCCGTTACCATGACCTTTCTTAATAAAAAATCTCATTAGTCAAAAAGTCAGAGGTTTTTCAACCTAATCTTGTACCATATGGTAGAAAACTATATGAAGCAAATATTCAAAGCAGTTTGTTAAGGATATGTAAGTGAGAACCAAGAGTTATCACTGTTTGGATTTATTGCCCAAAAAGTGCTGCATATTTCATTCCCTCCGTTACCGACATGAGTTTTTTAATTTTTTGTCAACAACTTGAAAGAATATCACAGGTTTAACTTGACCCTGTTGGAGTGTAACTCTTTCCTACATTCTGATACTTTACTTATTTCAATAGTCCCTCTAGTTTCTGAATAAGAGACATTTGAATGTCAAAAACCTGCTCGTTTCCTTCCGTTTCCACTTGACCAGACCCAAATACATTTCTTTGTAGAGAAAAAATACACTTTCAGCTTTAAGTTCAGATATGGTAAATGGTCACAGTTTTATACAGCGCTTTTCCACCTTCAAGGCTCTTAGAGGGTGGACATTTCAAACAGCCCAATGTTTGAACTACCTGTATAAGTTTCTGTGTGTCTGTATGTGGTGTAAAACTCTGGAACAGTCTGGATACACGTCTTAAGCAATGCCAAAATATCCATACATTCAAGTAGTTATAAACATATGGTCTGGTCACAGTATATAGAGAGTGGCTCTTAAAATTAGAACAATTCTTTCTTCTGTAGTGCTGCTTGTTGTTTCCTTGCCATTGCTACTCTGTTACCATTGTTGGCATCTTTCATTTTTCTTACCATTGTTGGAATCCTCATGTATTATTGCAATTACAGTTCTGTTACCAAACTAGAACAGTGACTCTTTGTTCGCATTTGTAAATAGTTCATATAGTTTAATGTAAAATGTCTGTAAAAGTCGAAAGAAAGCTCATTGTGTTAGATTAGAATTCTATTACAATCTCGTAAGAAAGAACCATGAGTCACTATATGGAGGGTGGTCCGCTCTGCTTCACCTTTCCTCCTGAAAAAGTACCTCTAAAGCTGCGCTGGTGTCCAGAATACATTCATGAGAAGACTGGTAGTGTCCCGAAAGGTTTGTGAGAACTCAGAACAAGTTAGACAAATTTAAAAACACGCTTCCTCATTGGTTTGGAATCGAAGACCTCTGGATCTCTACCTGACATAACTTTTATTTCTGTGAATGCTCAGAAAGAGAGGACCTCGTAAACAGTTTTAATGAATCCAGAGTGAATAAAGATCATTACAAACCCAGGTTCATTTTTGACAAGGGAACAACGTGCTTAAAAAGTTTCGATACATGTCCTATAGTTCAACTGCTTGAATATTTTCACTTGATAATTACCACAAACTATTTCACACAGAGAAGACAAAAGGACAACAAAGCACCAGCCACACACAGAATACAGTTTCCAGTCTGGGAGCATTAACAGTGTCAACAACATTCATGACCAAGTTGGATGTGAACAGAACTGGATCTCGTTTGTTAGCTAAGGCTCGTGCCATTTCCTCCCCAAATCAAAGCGAGCACATTAGCCGCAACAGTTTCTCGTATTTGTGTTTGTTATTAGGAGTCGTCTAATGTGCGCTGCTCAGGGGCCCGGGGTCCAGGTGGTCTCCATGGAAGAGTCAGTGGAGCAGATGTAACAGGTTTATGAGGCAGAGATGGAGCGTGAACACTAGATCTCCAGCTGGGAGGATAAGAGGGCTTCTCATAGTAATAATGTGGATTAGGAAAATGGATAAATACACTTAAATACACTGTGAACCAGACCTAGACACTGGGAGAACACGCAAACTCTGTGCTCTGGAAGTTGGATTAAAACAAGCTTAGTAAATTTGGTGACTGAAACTTACAATGTATCCAACAGAATCCCTCACCGCTCTCCAAATGAAGCACAATAAGTCAAAGATGTAGTGGCAGAGAGGTTAACACTAAGATGGCAGCGGTTTGAGCCTTTACCCACTTACCCAGAGGTTGGCAGTACAATCCCAGCTTCTATCATGTCCATACAACTGCTGTGTACTCGGACCAAACACAAACTTCCCACATCCAATTTGACAACACTGGTAATAATTTCTCATCTTCTGTGAAAACTCTGCACACGATTTTTACCTATGACATAACAATCCATGGAAAACTTTGAGTAATTTCTGAAGCTCAGAGCAAGATGACCTTGTAAACAGGATTAATAGACTGAATGAAGCCACAAATTCAGGTTTGTTTTCGATGAGGGAATAAAGTTAACATACTTTGTTGATTTGATTTAAATTGAAATGGACAAACTTTAATGAGAGGCCATACTCAGAGGTGTTCAGACAGGGGCCACATTTATTTCATTCATAAAGTATAAAAAGACATTAACAGTGTCACAGCATCAGACATACAAGAAATGAATGAAAAGGAGCTGAAAGAAGAGAAATCGTATATTATCTGCCCCCTTTTCCCTTTTCCAGACAAAATATCAACACTGATAGTCACTTTAAAACATTTCCAATCAGTACATTTCAGTTCAGGCACAATCAATCACATCGATTGCAAACAAAGATCTACACTTTTATGCACAACAGTTAATGGATTTTATGTGTTTTTAAAATGTCGTCATTGTACTTGATTCTTTTATATCTTTGTCAAGACTATTCCATAAATCAACTCTTTTCACAGCGATGCTTCGCTCCATAGCCTTGGTTCTGAATCTGGGTTTTTTAAACATGTAGGTTCCTTTTAAAATGTAGTGGCTTGTTCTAGTCTCAAATGTTCTTTGGATATTTACAGGTAATACATTGCACTTTGCTTTATTCATGACTTTGAGGAGACTTAAGTCAATAAAATCATGCATTTTCTTTCACTTTAAGTTGAACAAATAATGAGTTGGGTGGCTTTCTAAAATGGCTGTTGCGATCATTCTCAAGGCCTTTTCTGTAAAATAACTACTGGCTGTAGGTAAGTTTCATATGTTGACCCCCAAATTTCCACACAGTCCATCAGATTTGGTGCCATTCTAGAGTTATACGAGGTTAAAGATGCTGCACTATTTAGTGAGAACTTTACTTTATGCAGCACTGCAATTGCCTTAAGTGTAATTTATATGAGACAAACTCCAGTTTAGACCTTGATCAATCATGACTAAGTTTCATTTACTCTTTTAATCTGTATCCCACCTATTTCAAATGATATGCCATGTTTTTTTTCTTTTTATCATTAAATAATATGAAATATTAAGAATCAATCCATTTAAATCAAACCAATATTTCACTTTTCTTAGCTCTTCATTTACTTTATTTGTAACCTCTTTTAGAGTAAAATAATGTTGTATCATCAGCAAATAGAATTTTCCCAAGTTCAGAAACTTGAACAAAATCGTTCATGTATAATATAAATAATTTGGGCCCAAGAATCGAGCCTTGGGGAACACCCCATTTGATATTTTTTCTTTCTGATTCTGTCATTATGTACATATTGTTTTCTGTTTTGTAAACAGCTCATTATCCACTGATGAGCCACCCCTCGAATACCATACTTGTTAATTTTCTTAATTTTGAATGATTTATTACATCCAAAGCTTTTTGTATGTCAATGTATATACTTTAAGAATAATTCCCATTGTCAAGTTTCAATTTTTTTATTATTAGTTTCATTATTGCCATTGCAGTTGAATA